GGGGGGGGGGGGGGGGGGGGGGAAGGAAAGTAGCACTTGGTTGGATGGTGTGGTGTGTGGTCCCTTGGTCGCGATGAGCGTGGGAGACTGGGAGAGAGAGAGAGAGAGAGAGAGTCGCGCGCAAATTATGTGATAGATTAGCGCCGAGGGTTTTTGGGGGGAGGTCCGAGGGGGGAGGGGGGTACATAGAGAGGGGGTACAGCGAGGGCCTGTGGCCTGTGGGAGGGAGTGGGAGACTTGGGGTGGCCTGTGGGAGTTTGGGAGTGAGTGTGGCCCCGTGTGTTGCAGTGGACTCGTGGGTGAGGGGGGGGCGGGGGGGGGGGGGGGGGGTGTGTCGGTACTACTACAGGTACTCTATAGGTACTTCAGAGTACTCATATACCTCCATCGTATATGATGGGGTATATCAGACGGGATGTATATGCATATCGATAAATATCCGACTATACTTAACAGCTACACTGTCGTCTTCCCACTCGGATCTCTGCGGTAACCCCTTCACCCTTTACGGCCCCCCCCTCCCCTGCTGGCACACCTTGGTACGCTTCTTCTTGACACCCCCTTTACCCTTTGCAGAGGCTTCAGGCTGTAGATATCCACTATCAACTCACTAGCTGCATGTGTTCTCTGCTGGAGGTCCATGGAGCAGCACAGTAACGAACAGCCTACTCGTACAAGTACAGGGCAGCGTGAGCACTAACTTCATTAAGCAGCAGCCCATCCGCAGTCTACTACAGCACATAGCACGTACCTCACCGGTGATATACCGTACTCCTACGGCTCCCGTCGCGGCCCGGGCTAGTACTGATCAGTCGGGTGTCAACTGTACTTGTATGCGCCACGTTGGCGGAGATTGAGTGAGCCCTGGAGGTTCGTTGCTTTGCTAACAAAAGGGGTTACGTTACGTTCTCTTCTCCCCCTCTCCCTCCCCCTCTCCCCTGTTACGGGGTATTGATACTACACTCCTCCCGTCAGTAGCAGACTTATCAATACGCTGCTACGATATTGTACGATTGTAGTCTGTACAGGAGCAGGAGAGTGAGGTGATGACGGACCCATAGTTCCTCTTCCTGGTCGGACACGTTTATTGCCATGACGGATAGCAACCCCGTCTATTCAATGGTTGCTGCCCAAACCTGTCAGTCTGATTGTCTTTCATCTCCGATCGTGGCAGCATGTTACTGTATCGGATGGGTACGATGCTACGGATCAGCCATCATGGAGTGCTCTGTTCCTCGCTCCTGAATAGTACTGCTACGGAGTACCCGGGGGGGGGTTTACTGTGTGTATCGATTACCTCTCTACGGATTGCTCTGCCACCGCTATCCCGTCCGTATGGACGTATGGACCGCATGTAGCAGGTGACGTGAATTTTCAACACTGCTATCGATACTCGACCATGGGGACGGATTCTATATCATCATCCAACTCCCAGCTCCAACTTACCCGTACATCCCCATCACCCGCAGCTAACCATCTCGACTCCGACCGTGACCCCAGACCCAGACACCACGACAAGACGGAGAGCTGTCAAGACGCCTGTCAATGACTGTCACCCAGAGTCCCAAAGTCCCTGCATACTGTGTCTCAACCGATGCGTTGACCAACGGCACTCGATCTGTCTATGAGAATTCATACCGATACTGCTACATGCTACGTAGTATACATAGCGTACATGTGGTATTATACCACTTGCAAATCACTGCAGCCCTCTCTACCTGTGCATCGTAGCCCTGTACTCGTAGACTCCCAAGCCAAAAACATCGTCACCATCCCCCCCTAACTCGTATCTCAATTCTCAGCCCACACGTACAGATACCGTACTCGTCCACACACCGACAAGTTTCCCACGTGGTGGGGGGGGGGAGGGGAGAGGGCGGCGAGCCTCTCTCCTCCTCTCCTTCAGGCTTCCAAGTTCCAAACCCCCCTCCACCCCCCCCTGGCCCAAAATCCATGCTCCACCGAATGTATTCCATTGTCAGAGAAACCACAAGAC